GAAGTCGTCAGCAAGGAGCATGCAGGATCACACAGCATGTTAGAGACGGACATCCCGCGGGGGCCGTCCGAACCGCATCACCATGTCAGTGTCAGTGTCATCTCTTTCTCCTCGCATGTTACGAGAGCTGCGACAATGGTTTGGGACGGCACTTTCCAAAAGTGCGGCCCAGATATTGTTAGCTCCCTCTGCAGGTCCGTGACTGTCGCAGGATGGCGCGGGAGCACCGATTCAGATGAGGTGGTTGAGTGAGGGTGGGCGAGCGAGTGCAAGTTGGCAGGCAACCAGTTTGGGGCAGTTTGGGGGAACAGGAAAACCCAGGCAGCTCGTACTGCGTCAACAAAGCCATGATTGACCAACTTTGTCGCTGATCTGCGACCGAAAGACCGGACGAAGAGCATGTAAATCGATGCCAAGCCCAAGAAATCGAGAACTTCAGATAAACGGCCCCCCAAGCAACTAAAAACAGCGCACAATTAGTTGATGCCCCAGCCAAGCTGCCAAGCTACCAGCTTCAGGAAAGCCTCACACAGCACACTATTTGCTGTTTACTCGAGGGTTGCAGCTCTCATGGAGTATTCCTCGGCACAACCTCTTGGCAGAGGCAGAGTTGTGCAATCTCTGTGCTTCTCGAGGGAATCAGGGATGTCCTACCCTTGGATCTTGCTGCACAGACGGCCCCTCCCGACCAGAGGGTCGGGTCCAGCCACACCCTGCTTACCCCTGCACCCATGGCGGTAAGGATGGACCTGACCAAGCACTAGGCCGGGACATGAAACTGACTCTTGTTCGCCTTCCTTCTCCCTCCCTCCTTGGTGTGGCTGAAGGACATGGGATCTTGCAGATGTCAGATTGTGGCTCAGCGTTGACGGTTTTCTAGGCCTTCTGGGCGCCATCTATCGGTTAAAGCTGCCCAGCTGCGAAAATTCTTCCTAGCGTTGCTACGCAGACGCCAAAGCATATTGTTGTCCCTCTTAGTTGCCTCCACCGTTAAACTTTCCGTCATCCACTTCCCGTACAATTAAGAAGGCCCAAATTCAATATTGCGGCTCCTTTTCAACAACATATGCCCGCCCGGGGCGAACGGCACACGCAATTAGCGCGCGCCCAGGACCACTTGTTGCTGGAAGATGCCGTTTTCATTGATAATCGCCTAGTCATCGATAAGTGGATGACGCGACCCCATATCTCCCGTGTCGTCCACCGTTAGTGCGGCTGAGACCTGTTGCAACGCCCGTTAGCTCTGGAGATTGAGACAGGAACGGTCTCAGACGGCCGACATTTTTTCTTCTAGAAGAAGGTAAAAGGAAAATGTCGAACAGACACCGTCATCTGAAAGAAATCGGACGAGCTGCAGTGCAAAGCCAGAGTCAGGGGACTGTAACAGGGCAAAGTTGCTGCTCATGATGGCTACTCGTGGACACCACGTGCAAGTTCCCCAGAGTCCAGACAGCCAGCCAAGCGTGTGTTTCTATGTCCAACAGGCGGCTATCTTGGCGCGACCATGGCGTCGTCGAATGACAGGACGAGGCGAGCGTTTAGAAACTGCAAAAGCAATTTACGGAAGCATGCATTTAGCGCGGATTGATAGCCATTAAAGTTCAGTCTAGGTGAGGAGTAGAGACCGCAAACCTGATGGAGATCTAGAGTAGCTCCTTGTCGGACGGAGATGAGTACAGTTTGGGGAAGATGGCCAAGCCTGTACGCGCCGCCTGTCATCCCCTTGGCCGCGCATGCAGGGACGCAGCAAGACGTTGGCCCAGAACGGGATCTCCCCCCCTCGTCGGTGTGGCTTGAGGTCTACCTCGAACAAATCGAGCCATACGCCCGTGGTGGAACCTGATAACAAGTTCACAATCGCGGAAGTGAGGTGGCTGCGATTATGCTGGGCCAGGCATATGCCTGTCAATCGAGCGCACAAGCCCTCGCGTCAGGTTGCCATTGGATAAATGGCTGCAGTCTTGGCCCGTTGTTTATTGTGGGCTATTTCGAGACGCAACTTCGTCAGCTCCTCTTGCCGGGCCAAACGTGCATGTCCTAAGTAAATGAAGGCTCTCGTTTGCTCCCCGACGGTGAGCATGGGTTCACCTGGGCCACACCGTTGCTTTCATCCGAAGACGACCGCCACTGTCATGAACTTGACGGCAGATCGCCCATGATAGGCCCAAGCTGGGTACCTCCCTGTGCATGGACATGAGTATCCGCTTTACGCCTAACGACCAACTCCTCTTACCAGAACTGGAGATATCAATATGGCAGGACTAGTAAAGCGAGCTCCCTTTTGATCAGTATTAAAGAGCGGATCTCCTCTCACCACCATCGAGTCCATCATCATCATCTACTTTGAGATCATCAAGCAATCCACTTGCCACCATTTTCCTCTTTTTTCCAACATCAACAGGGTTGATTCAACAGCTTGAGCGGGACTCTCTTGTCTACTTCACATTTCGCAAAAAAACAATAACACCAGCGACTCGTTTCTTCTTGCCTTCTTCACTCACACTTTTTTCAAAATGGTCCCTCCTCGCTCTGGATCTGCTATGGGCATGCGCAGCCGCGGCCCCGTTGAGTTGAACGTCAACCTCGCCAAATCTTACGAGATCCGTGGCCCCAAGTCACCCATGCCCAGATCTCCCCTCAGGGACACCACCGTCGAAGATCGCACTAGCCGCTCTTCGTACGAAGATCGCCTCGAAGGTGCCATCCACGTTCTCCGCACTGAAGCCAACGCACTTCAGGCCCTGACGCAGCTCTACTCGTCCGAGCGCGTCTGCCGTGATGGCTTCTTCCGTTCCATCGAGGTCCTCACCCGCCACCGCGATCACCGCGGCAAGGTCGTCTTCATCGGTGTTGGCAAGTCTGGCTGGATCGCCAAGAAGCTCACTGCCACCTTCAGCAGCTTGGGCATTCCAGCTGTCTTCCTCCACCCTACCGAGGCCCTTCACGGCGACCTTGGCATCATCGGCGACTATGACACCCTCATCATGATCACCTTCTCCGGCAAGACCCCTGAGCTCATGCTCCTGCTCCCGCATCTCAACAAGAACTGCCCTCTCATCCTCCTCACCTCGCCCACTCGCATGGAGACCTGCGAGATCGCCAAGGCACGACCAGATCTCATTCTCCTTCCCGCTCCTATTCCAGAGTCCGAGAAGGAGACCTTTGGCGTCTCTGCTCCCACCACCTCCACCACCATGGCCATCGCCGTCGGTGACGCTCTCGCATATGTCGCCTCCAAGGAGATGTACTCCTCGGTATCAAATGTGTTTGCGAAGAACCACCCCGGCGGCGCTATTGGCCAGGCCTTCAAGACAAAATAAGCGACGTGTGTTGCTTTTTGAGATTTGTGCAGTTTATTCTTGATTGGCGGGGCGTTTTAGGGTAAAAGGTTTACTTCTTGCAGCGGACAGAGTTACATAAAGGCTCTCATGATGTCCACATTCTTGTACATTTACATTACATCTTCTGATGGGTTCATTTGTTCAAATTTGAAAGCCTGCTGGATGTTCATAGACTTTTCTTCAGATATTTGGATACCACAAAATTCGATGATCGCAAATTCTTTCAACACAATTTCGCCTATCCTTGCTAATTTGTGATGCGAACAATAAAATTGAATCATGACTCTAAAACGCATTTCTCGCTGTTATTTGTGCTTCAATTTGGGCATGTTTTCAATCAATCGTACTCGGTACGAAGATGTCGTCGTTTCGATCTCGGCAAAAGTATCCAAATCGGAAGTCAATTTATTTGAGTTCGACTCAGACCCCCAAACTTGTCCAGCCGACTACCGACATGCAGACAATGATCTTGGCAAACCTTCGTATTAACATTCGCCAAATTCCCTTGCGTCTCATCATTCCTTCTTCAACGACATGCCTTCATCTTGCCATCATTGATGACATTGACAATAAAATCAACACTCCCGAATTCGCTCTAGAACATGCCGCGTTGGCGTGCCGGTTAGCCAACATGAAGCACAATGACGTGCCGTGATACCGATAAAAACATGCATTCAACCCCAGAAGTCCCAAACGATAAGTTTCTTTTGCGGAGCTTGCCACAGACTGCCACAGACTGCCACAGATTGGTGGGTGAAGCGCTTGCTTCTGTGCAACAGATCTGGCTGATAACTCACCAGCGTCTCACAAGCTCTCCATGAGTCTGTTTTGGCTTGCCTGCAGCAGCCCAAGACGGTCTCCACATTGATATGAACTCACTGCAATCTCTCTCCAACAGGCTCCAAACACGGCACCTGGGATGCTGTTTGCTTGTTTTCGTTCCCTATCAGCAGCGGTCACTGTGAACAATGCTGCATATCCTGCCACTGTTACCCCTGCAGGAGGATCGCCCGTGCAGAACCAGGAAAATTTAGGGGGCGCGGACCATCGACCGACAGGGGGTTCCTAGTGCTCTTCGAGAAACCTGCCCTGAGTCGCATTGATTCGATCAACGGGACCCACGGCATATCCGATCACAGTCCTTAAAACAGTGTGTTATAACGCCAGCTGTCACGGCACGTGGGGTTGTCGGGCTTGACGCGTAGTCCCAGGGATAGGCTGAGCTGCGGACGACTGCTGGTGGAGCCCCGAGGTCTAGTTGATTCAGGAGCTCTCAGAGAAATTAATCATGCCCGGGGGACCGCTGCGATAGTGTCGATCCGCACAAAGGAGGCCCCCGTTGATCCTCGGAGCCGGGGTCCCCAAGGAGAGTGCTCATCAGCCACGCCGAGTTCGCGGCTACATTGACGACATTTGACGTACCCCCATGTGGGGAGGACTGCGTATTAGCCGCCATCGTTGGGTTGTCCAAGACATGCATTGCACAAGCAACGAGCCGAAATGGGCGCTTCTCGCCCCCTTGGGGACCGGCCGTCTCTTCCTGATAGGGTGAGACCGGGCCTTTGGCGGGTTCCCGTCCCTAGTGTCTGCAGTTATCACTCATTGAGGCCCATCGTTGACTGAGCTCTCCTCCTTCTCTCACCCCAGGAGCATACAATCATGTCGCTGCAAGTGCCTGACCCGGACAGGCTGAACTTCTTCCCACCGAACCAGGCAAAGCAGACCAGATTCGCGCCTCTGCCGCCTAGACCGCCTCCAGCGCGGCATTCCTTCATCAATGCTCGAAGCTCATGGATGAGGAGAAGCCAACGCTTCCCCATCGCAGAGACCTACGAACGTTTACCACGCCTAAGCCGACTGTCATACTTCCCCGTCGCCAACGAGTACATCGATGGAGTGTTCAACGAGAAGACGAACCTCCCACCTCGGTGGTCGTTCTACGTCCCCGACTTCGACTTTGACGTGAAGGATTTCGAGAAGTACGAACAGCAGCAGCAGCAACAACAAGAAAAGGGCGAGGACGATGACGTCCCCAAGGCTCTCAAGGCATTCCGTGTCGACTTCTATCCTGGTGATCCTGACGACCCAAAGTGCTGGTCCGTAGCCTACCGGATCCTCGTCATCGGCATGTTCGCCTTCACCACCCTAGCCACTGGTATCTATTCCACCGCCTACTCTAGTGGCATCAACTCAATGGTCCCGGAGCTCGGCGTCACCAACCAGTCACTACCATTGCTTGGTATCTCACTCTACCTCGTCGGCCTGGCGTTGGGTGCCCTCATCATGGCGCCGCTAAGTGAGACATTCGGTCGAAGACCTATGTACATCGGTGGCCTCAGTGTCTTCCTGGCTTTGATTCCCATGGCAGCTCTCGCGACGAACTTTACGATGGTCATCGTCGCCCGTTTCTTAGGGTATGTGATTCCAAGCCCCCATTAGTCGTGACAACATACTGACGTCACAACAGAGCTGTCGCCGGAAGTGTCATGCTTTCCAACGTTGCTGGATCGATCATGGACATCACCGACCCCAAGTATCTTCCTCTCGCCATCTCAGTTTACTCCTTTGGTCCACTCAACGGCCCGGTGCTGGGACCTCTCATCGTAAGTACATATGTCATCTCCTTTGGTCTCGAGGATGAGCTGACATACCCTCAGGGTGGTTTCATGGTTGAAGCCTGGGGCTGGAGGTCTCTGAACTGGATGTCGCTCATCTCAACGGCTGTGGGCGCCTTGTTCATCATGACCGTCCCTGAAACATACCGCCCGACACTTCTAAGGAAGAAGGCGATGACGAGGAGAGTGGAGGAAGGCGACCACCGTTACTGGTCTGACTTCGACGACTCCGTCCCGCTCTTCCGCAGAATCCGCACCTCCATCTCTCGACCTTTCATTTTGTCTTTCACTGAGCCTGTCTTGATGTTCTGGAACATCTACATCTCAGTCATCTATGCCATTGTGCAGTTGGCATACGTCGCTTTCCCTATCATCTTCCAAGACGAACGAGGCTGGTCCACATCAATCTCGGGACTTGCTTTCCTCGGAGTGTTCGTCGGCATCGCCCTCGTCCTCGCTACCGAGCCCTTGCTACGAAAACTCGTTCAGCGCCAACCCAAAAACCCGGAGACAGGCAAGCCTGAGCCGGAAGCCACCGTTCTTCTCATCTGTATCGGCGCTGTGCTCGAACCAGTCGGCCAGCTGGCGTTCGCGCTAACATCCCTTCCCATCGAAATTCCCTTTTACTGGAGCATTCTGTCAGGCGTTCCCTTTGGATACGGCTTCGGCCTTGTTTTCATTTACGGCACTGGCTACATCTCAAATGTCTTCGGCATGTATGCCACCTCCGCCTCTGCAGGCAACCTCGTTTTCAGGTCAATCTTGGGCGCTGTGCTCGTCATCGTGGGCAAGAGCATGTATCATGCGCTCACCCCGCGCATCGCGGGTATCACTATTGGTGTCGCCGAAGTGGTGCTCATGCCCATTCCTTTCATCTTTCTTAAGTGGGGCAAGAACATTCGGCAAAAAAGCAAACTTATTCGGACACTGGAGGAGCAGGCGAAAAAGGTTGCAAAGTGAATCATTTGTACTAAACGGAAACCGGCGAGATACCCCTTTCCTTCCTGTCTATATTTTTGTGTGCCAGTCACATTTTCCCTGTCCAAAATTACTCAAAGCGTGTATATGTAGATAATTAGAATCAAAATAGCAATATTGATATCAATAACTCATACTCCTTGACGCTTCCCAGCCTGTCCCATCAAGTCCTTTTCAAAGCTAACCCGTGGTAACCTGATGCTACGCCGCACATAACTCTAACTTTTCCGCCCAACAATATCTGACCCAATCACTTTGCGAGTATGAACCAGTCCCAGTTGTCGATGGAGACTTTTCGTCTGATTTGACTCCTTGTTGAACGCCGTCAATTTTCCATATCCTGTTCCTTAGCAATTCGAGAGCAACCGAAATATTGAGGAGTCCATTCTTCTCAAGCATTTTTTCAAGTCGAAGTTCGACTTGGTGTCGCCGTGAGCTAACCGGCATGGTTTCACAACCGAGTACAAACATTGGCCAGATCATCATCGTGGACGCAAAGGTGTCGACAGGAACCGCTAGTACTGCCTCGGATAGCTGCTCAACCAGAGCTAACGACTGCTTCAACGGTTGATCTGTCCACGTTGTACTCGAGTCGCCATCGTCGGCGCGAAGAAGGAAGATCTGCATCGCAAGCCCGAAGGAGAGGGCCGCTGCGATACAGGCGTTTCCTGTTCTTATCCTGTGGCTTTCCAGTGTGTCGGAATCAGTCCCTTCACAAAATGGCTGTTGTACTGCTGCAGGTAACTCTCTGCAGCAAGTGTTCAGCTCTTGCAATAAACAGTACCGAGATAGTACGAAGGACTCGGGTGTTATCGCCCCGCTGAGGAAATCCTCAACCAACGCGCCAGACTCTCCCATTAACGGTAGTATGTCGGTTGTGTACCCGAATACGATGTCTGGGTACCGCTTCGCATACGTGTTGCAATGGGGTTGGATCATACTTTGCCAAAATTGACGGTCGAACACGGGCTTCCTCGCGCAGGGAACGCAACACACCGCGTCCATGTAAGCCAGCATTTTGATGTTAACCGACATCATGGGAGTCGGCTTCTCAAGTTGAGAACAACCGCTCATCGCTTGTAACAGGAGCGTTCGTTCTTCAAGCTGGGCCCTTGTGCCCCTGATCAGAGGACGAATGATGCAGGTGTCTGATCCTTGCATGATCTCCAAGCCGATCAATGCTAGAGACGCGGCGATGGCTTCCTCGCTTACATACAACGGCAATTTGTGCTGAGTCTTGGTTGGCGACAATCTTTTCTGTTGCTGTACACAAGCCACCATTTGACCCAGAGCTCGTTGTTTTCTTTCTAGAACCTCTTCTTGTGTAACAACCCCCAGAGCGAACAGATGTGACGCGCCGGCAGCAAGAACTGCCGGTAGAAGGATGGAATCTTGCTGCCAGACGAAGGCCAAATATGGCTCTCGCACACTCACGTATTCCTCTGGATTCGGATACACCAAATCGGGTAACGACTTCGACCAATGTGTGAAGATGAATACATCCGACGAAGAGTGGAGACGAGGTCCTGTTGTTGGATTTCGAATTAAGGCAGTCGAGCTGTTCGCGAGCTTCTTGCATTGAATAGCCTTTGCCGTCTTAGATGAGGGGCATATCGCCAGTGAGCTTCTGGGCTTGACAACACTCTTGGTCGAGGCCTGACTATCCGGGCTAACATCGCTGGCCTCAACCCACTTCAGCTTGACTTTGTAACCGCCACATGCTACGCCGCGGCGTTCGCACTGCTTACAGAGCGGGTGCGCCTCGTCGCATTTGATACGAGCGGCTCTGCAAGTCACACACCCTATGCGAATAAGGTTAGCGAGGCCCTCGCAAAGCGCATCGTGTACATGAGACTCACCGTTTCTCGAACGGCGATAGAACTGAGTAGGCATGGAGCTATCTGCCAGCTGCGGTATGCCGAGAGTCGTGCGTTGAGGCTTAAAATAACATAGTCATAGAAGACTTGGTATGGCCCCGGTGGGATGAGACAATGTTGGTTCGGACCTGATTGTGGCCAAGGAGAGCAATAATTGTATCTTGGCCAGATTGGGAAAAAGTCATGAGATGCAGGCCGGGCTTCCGGGTCGGTGGATTACGGAGAGCGGCCTTAGTCATAGTTATATGGATTTCCTCTCTTGCTTTCACGGGGCAGGTGGGGGTGTAGCGAGATCCCCGCCAATAGCATTATGAAACGAGTCATTCTCGTCTCCTTGTGTGACGGCAGCTGGGCCCATGTTGGGGTAGGAGACAACAAGAATGATACCACCGGCCGTTTCAGCCGGAAAACAGCACGGTGCCGGTTCGCAACTTGGCAGTCATTTTAGATGAAGAACGAGGTTCTCGTACAGTGTGTAGAAAAACCGAATTCGCACCGACAGGGCTGAAAGCGACGTAGATCTAGGCCCTACGAGGTTTCATTAAGGTCGAATTCTTGATTCTATGACATATCGCGCTAAATAAACGTGCATGTCAGAAACGAATGAGAGGTAGCGTTGTGTCCTGGGCGGAACTGGGGTTGATTCCGAGAGCGATTCCGACCCCAAAACACTATCATGCGCACACAGGCGACAGCAAAAACTGAGCCATACAATATCGTCGAATTGTGTCACGTAGCGGACGAAGCAGTTCACCCAACCCGAAACCGAACATGTGATTCCATCTGACAGTGACTGAGTCTGGACTCTTAAACACATCTTGCTAAATTTCCTTCTTGTCGAATTCTCACCAACGCTAAAACGGCTCGGCTTGACGAGTGAATGTGACGTGATGCGATACCGCTCTGCTCTAATCATACGCATGCTCGTCAGCTATGAGTCAATAATCCCACTCATTCTTCGTTGGCAATATGCAAATTCAATATGCTCGACATTGGCGTTTCCGACTCGCGAAGTTGAGGTTATAATCAAGAGTCGACACTACTAAAACAAATGATCAGCCCGATTCAATGTCGTATCAATAGCCAGTTCGCCCATCGCTGTGGCGTCGTGCACATAAGTAGCCAGGCCTTTTATAATTCAACACTGTGGAAGAATACTGCTCTGATCAGAAACCTGACTATGAGTTGATCGGGTAGAAAAGAAGTATAGATGCAGACCTCTTCTGACAGCTATCTGCATACGACTTTAAGCGCCATCCACAAAGTTAGTATCAAGTCGTGTGACCAGCTACAGCTCTTTTCACAGGCAGCTTAAACACAGGAGTGTCACTCAGCAACTTAGAAGTTATTGAAGGAAGGATGCAGAACGGTCTATTGCTAGCGAGCATTTGTGTGCCGACTGGAAAGAACCGCCGCGCTGCTCTAAAAGGGGAAGAGACAACAACATAGACACGGAGAAATAGAACACCCCTCGTGTTTACTTCTCATATCTAACTAACTTCTTAAGTTACCTAGAGAGAAAGGTTTCACTATATTTATATAAAATAAAGGTTTCTACCCCTAAGTGCTAAGTAAGTTTTAGTTGTAAATAGCAGAACAGCTCAACCTACCTATAAGCGATTTCTTTTCCTTTTGTAAAAGATAAATAAATAAATAATAATAAGTCCTTTATGAAAATGACAGATCAAAAGCGCAAAAGTTAAAGGAGAATCTCCTCGACGGGGAATTGAACCCCGGTCCCCGGCGAATCGTTTTAATGACAAGCCGATATCCTCACCACTAGACTATCGAGGATGTGATTGATGGATGGGACGGCGGGTAGTCTGACTAAGATCCCCACAGCTGGCCCACGTCCTCCTGACAACCGAGCGCGATGCAGTCAATCGTGATGAAGCAGCGTTCAATTGTACGCATTCGTGTTGGTCTGGGTGAACTGATCATGCATAACGGCGGTCGCCCTGTAACTGTAGTCGTTTGATATGCTCGAATCAGGTTCCTATAGGCAATAGGTGGGTTTATGACGGGCTCTAAGGTTATCTGTCGCAACAGAGAAGGTCAAGACCTTAGAGAACCGTTTTTTTGTGTTGAGATTGACGCTGCTAAACAGTACGCGGTCACTCAGATCTGAGCTTCGTAGCGACCGCCGAAAAAGTTTCCGAGCTTATACCTGACGGAATTGAAGATAAGATGATGAAAGACGCGTTTAGGACGTCTGTCATGATGTGCCGAGAGAGTCGCTGTTCAAGATTGCATTGATTAATAGCAGCCAGGTTCGTGCTGAGAACTTCCAGTGCAGCCGCTGAGCGTTGACGTAGGTAGGTATTCAAAATCGGCCTGGAGCGGTGGTACAGCTCCCAACAGAGTGGCCCAGAACAGCTTTCAGACTCAACAATCAGGTGTTAGGATGGCAACAAATGATCTGGTCTAAAGTCCTATCCACGCAGTATCCGTATCGCACGATGTTCCTTGGCCATTTGGAAGCGCGTCGTGGAAGTCATACGCCAGTTGTTTTCAAGCACATTGCCTGCCTGACAGGTGACGGTGTGCCAATCCCACTAATTCTCCAGCGACGCGCCCTGTAAATCATGCGAATTGAGGGGAATGCGGGGAGACGTGGCTAAACTTTACAGGAGGATGCAGCGATTGGGGATTCGAGCCGTAGCCTGGGCATACTGTCAACCGTTCAATTGGTACTGTCACCCAGTCGCCATGTCAAAAAAGCACGGCGAATGTTGTGGATAGACTTCCTCATGATATGTCTAATTAGTTCACATGCTCGAGCTGCGTGTAGACTGTAGGCATGGCAGAGCCCAGTCCATGCCAGCCCTCACATAGTTGCGGTCAAGAGCCTTGGCCGAAGCCACCTGAAAGCAGCATGACCCCCGATTCCCTCCAGATTGCGTGGCCATCGCTGGCAAGCAAGCAACTGATTCGAAAGGATTCCCGGGCATCTTGGCTGGCTGGGATGCCGGTGTCTCCTACGCCGCCAACTTACAGCACATGGTTTGCCAGGGTCATCAGAAGCTACCATCTACCATCACACGACAGCCGCACTGCCATTGCCAAGTAAGTCAGTAAAGCGCTACATGGTAGCACGAGATGCCTCCCGAATACTTTGGCTTTCCAACTCAGTCCACTACATTCTCATCAGATTCACGCTGAACTCTTGGCCTGAGCACGCCAAGGTCTCCGATCCCTCGCTCCCAAGCCCCCTGGCGCCAACCCAAAGACGGCCTACAATGCAATCCTCACTTTCGGGTGCAATCCGCTAGTCAATCGCCAAGCCGCTTGTCTATCTCGTCTTGAGGTGTCCAGCCACCACGGCATCCTCTGAAGGCGGAAAAGGCCTGGATCCTGATCTGACAACATGCAGCAGTTGCTCACCGAACATGTCTGCAGCCCAGAGGCCAAGATGTCTTGGATAACTTTACTCTTTGGGAAGGAATACCGCGGGGTTGTCTTAAATTTGTTCACCCCGCCAGTCAGGCTGCCCACGAATTGACAGAAGAGATTCTTGTTCGACTCGCCTCGCAGCTGCGATACCAGCACGGTTGATTGAGCCCTTCAGCATCCAGAATCTCAAGACCTACAGACCACAATCTGAGGCCCTCAATACGCCGATTCTCTCTATCGCGACCGTCGCCATGTCGACATTGACAGCGGCGACGACTTCGGTCGCGCCTACGCCCACGCCTACGGGCGACAGAGCTCCTTCACAAGGCGGCATCTTCGAGGGCATGAATCCGTCGGTCTACAACCCCGCCGACCCAATTATCATGTTCATCATCCAAGCAACCATTGTCATCACGTTGACTAGATTGCTCTACTGGCCGCTGTCTAAGATCCGCGAGCCGAGAGTCATTGCTGAAGTCATCGCTGTGAGTCTAGTAGCGTTGCGCCTTGCCGTGACTTCACGAAGACTAACACAAGAACACAGGGTATTCTTCTCGGCCCCTCGGTTCTCGGTCGCATCCCCGGCTTCACCGCAGCCATATTTCCTCCAAATTCCATGCCGCCCTTCCGACTGGCAGCCAACATCGGACTCGTTCTCTTCCTGTTTCTTGTCGGTCTCGAGATCAACCTATCCTATCTACTCAGCAATTGGCGAACTGCTATTAGCGTCGCGACTCTGGATATGGCCATCCCCTTTGGTCTCGGTGTCGCAGTTGCGTGGGGACTGTACAACGAGTTCCATAATGAGCCGGGAATTGCTCCCATTTCGTTCGGAGTGTTCGCACTCTTCATTGGTGTCGCAATGGCAATCACCGCGTTCCCGGTCCTGTGTCGCATCTTGACATCCTTGAAACTGCTCAACACCACGGTTGGTGTGATAGTCCTTACGTCCGGTATCGCCAACGACGTTGTCGGTTGGGTTCTTCTCGCTTTGTGCGTCACCCTCGTCAACTCCGGAGCTGGCGTTACTGCAGTGTACATTCTGCTAGTCTCCATAGGGTTCGCCTTGTTCCTTGGGTTTGCCGTTCGGCCGGCCTTCATCTGGGTGCTCCGGAGAACGAAGAGCCTGGAAAATGGCCCAACCCAAGGTGTCGTCGCCCTCACGCTTCTCCTCGTCCTAGCTTCTGCTTTCTTCACGAGCATTATTGGCGTCCATTCCATCTTTGGCGCCTTCATGGTCGGCCTGATGTGTCCCCACGAAGGAGGTTTCGCCATCAAGCTCACTGAAAAGATTGAAGATTTGATCTCAACTCTCTTCGTTCCGTTGTTTTTCGCCCTATCGGGAATCAACACCAATCTCGGTCTACTAGACAGTGGTCGAACCTGGGGTTATGTGGTTGCCATCATCTTCGTCGCTTTCTTCAGTAAGGTTATTGGAGGTACCGCTGGCGCCCGCATGAACGGTCTTGTGTGGCGTGAATCATTCACCATCGGCACTCTGATGTCTTGCAAGGGACTCGTTGAGCTCATCGTCCTCAACATCGGCCTCCAGGCCAAGATCCTCAGCACAAGGACCTTTACGATGTTCGTCGTCATGGCTCTCGTCACCACCTTCGCCACATC